CCAGGTCACCCTGGGGGAGATGCTGCAGTCGCAGGGACACATTCCATGTCTCCTTCCCCTCTCTGGGGACCACAGGATGTATAAACCACTCAACTGCTACAGACAGTCAAAGCAAATCCCCCAGAGTTTCACCTACTCTCAACAGACCAACAGCCACCAGGATGTAGGCCCCAGATGAAAAGTGGCAGTCCTGCCTGTAAAGCCGACCAAGACAGTATTCTCAAGAAACCCTCTCTTGCAGGGTGCCGGTCGCTCACCCCTGTAATCCTAGTTTCTTGGGAGGCTGAGATTGAAGCCAACCTGGGCAAATAGTTTGTGAGACCCCCATCGCCAAAATAACCAGAGTAAAATGGACTGCAGGTGTGTCTCAAGCGGTAGAGTGTCTGCTTTGCAAGCACAAAGCCTGAGTTCAAAACTCCACCCCCACAAAAAAAGAAAGAAAAAAAGAAAACCTCTCTCAGCAGCCCCTAAGCACTGACCATCCAGAGTACTACGGACATGGAGACCTGTCCCACCAATGCACCTCAAGGTCAAGGAGCACTGCACTGGCCAGTCCTGCATTCTTCCACATATCTGTCTACCCCAGACATTGTGGGGAGGGGGCGCCAGTCCAGCGTCCAGCACATGCATGGTCCTCAGCTGCCCAGAAGCCCACAGATCGGCATCATCTTCCACCCTAGAGCCCCTAGTCCAGTAGAGTCTCCCTGTGTTTCTCAGTTTGTACTCACTCAATCTTTTTTCTTTTCTTCCTTTTATTTTTTTTGTCAGTGCTGGGGTTTGAACACAGGGCCTCACACTTGCTAGGCAGGTGCTCTACCACTTGACATGTACCTAGTCCTTTTTGCTTTAGTTATTTTATAAATAGGGTCCTGTGGTTTTTCCAGGACTGGCCTACACTATGACCCTCCTGTTTATGCTTCCTGTATAGCTGGGATGACAGGTGCACACCACCATGACCAGTTTTTTATTGGTTGAGATGAAGTCTCCTGAACATTTTGCCCACGATCTCAAACCACAATCCTTCAGATCTCTACCTCCCAAGCAGCTGGGATGACAAGTATGAGCCATCGTGTCTGGCTACTGCACTGCTTTCTCACAGACAGGCCAAATGCTTCTGTTCTCCATTTCCTCAGTTTTCGCATCAGCCTGGCCTTTTTCAGGTTCAGTGGTTTTCTCAGTCTGGAGCTGTATGTAGTTCACCATCAAATCAGTGCCTAGTTTTTGTTTTTGTTTTTTTGTTTTGGTTTTTTTTTTTTTTTTTTTGCAGTACCGGGGCTTGAACTCAGAGCCTACACCTTGAGCCACTCCACCAGTCCTTTTTATGTTAGGTATTTTTGAGATAGGGTCTTGCAAACTATTTGCCTGTGCTGGCTTCAAACTGTGATCCTCCTGATCTCTGCCTCCTGAATAGCTAGGATTACAGGCGTGAGCAGTGCCCAGTTCTACTGCACTTAAAATTGTCCAACTGCAGCAAAGACTTCAGTTCTTCATCCTAACATACCAGTGAGAATGCACAGTGGCCAAGCCATAAACTAACATTAAGTCTACACCAGTTCATCAGCCACCACAGAACAACTCAACTTTGATTTTGTTAGGAGTTCATGCAAGAAAGGCAAGGGAACCAACAGCATTAATTACCTGCTGTTTACTATTGTCCAAACCTGCAGAGTGCCCTTCAGAGACAGGCAAAGTGGAAGCCTGAGCAGCAGACATGGGCAGGAAGGGAGGGGCTGCGCCCTCCTGAAGGAGGAGCCTGAGCCCACTTGCATGGTAGATTTCTTCAAGTATTACCCTCCTAGGACTGAACAGTAAGTACCAAAAATATACCACATGCTTTAAGAACATTATCTTATAATCCAGTACAATTTATTTTCAAATACACACAAGGTGAATGTAGCTCTTTTGTACAAAAATGTTTGTTTTAATCAATATCATCACCCTGCAACACAGAAAAAGATGTTCAACTGCCACTGAAAAGAGTGGGAAAGTTCTGGGCGGGGTCTCCTCCCAGCTCCCAGGCAATGAGCAACAGCAGAAGCAAACAAACAGCTCAGCGCCTCTGCCTTGCTGCTTCGTGTGCACTGCTGCTGATGGAAACCAACAGCCCTGACAGGAGCAGAGGGGTAGCTTGCTGCTGTAGAACCAGAAGACACCGCCATAAGGGCTGGGGAGCTCTGCAGGTGGAAGGATGTCCTTGGGCTGCAGGCCTCGCCCTTTGGCCGGCTTCCTCTCCCAAGCCTCCACCCCAGGCCTTCCTCATTCATCAGCCTGCCCAACTTCAACCCTACTGGTTTCAGCCTACTGGCCCCTAACTGGTTTTACTGCGCTGAGCCGCTCATCATCCTAACATCGGACCTGCCCACATCACCCCCAACTGCACCTCCTGAGCACTTCAGAGGCTCGTGTTCTAACCAAGGTCAGGGAAAAGAGGAAACAAAAGGAAAAAAACTGCTAAATTCTGCCATGTTCCTTTATCCCAGAAACATGACTGATAGTAATCACTAAGTTATCAAAGTGTCCGAAATCCAAAAACAAGGTCTGCCTCCTTGCAGATAACCCACTGCCCAATCCCTTCTGATGACTGTGTTCACAGGTCTGGGGCTGCACCTGGAACCTGAACTTGTTACAAAGTTCCCCAGGGTTTCTGATGAGAAGCCAGGATCCCTCTCCTCTTGCCCTCACCTTCCTCACACCTCTCAGGGTTGGGGGCAACCATTAAATCTGGAGTCCTGGCTTTGCTACCTATCACCAGGAAAGGCCAGTGCCTGACTGCAACACACATGGAGCAAGGTATACTGCTCACATCTGATGCCTGCTATCACCACTAATGGTGTCCTCTCCAGGTGTCCTGGCCTGGTCACCGAAACACACACTACCCTGGTTTTCTGGCAGTAATGGATGTCACTTTCAGTCAAGTGCAATAACACAGGTGCCAGGTTACTGCTGGTCCTTGACCACCTCAGACTTTGACCAGCCCATCCTTCATTCAGGTTAACACAACTGCACACACCTGGCCACCACTGCCTTCCCATCTCACAACTGCCTCCATATGTTCTACAGCAGATCCAGCACAGCTCCCCATGCCTCACCCCCACAACCCCCCAAGCACCCCGTGCCACTCTGGAACAGGCACTCTCTGGCCATCTTTCCAGCCAGCAGTCCCTCTGGGAAAGGTGTGCATTCAGGACCTGGCTGTGCCCAGAGACCAACCAAGAGCCTCTGGGATCCTCCCCCTCTGACACACCTCAGCAGCAGGGACAGAACCTCCAGATCTCGGCATCCAAGCTGCAGCAGGACAACAGAGGGGGGAACAAGGCTGTTCCCACAGACACAAGAGAAGTCATTTTCAAGCTGCAATAAACTCCCTGTTTGCAGACAACACAGGATAACATAAAATGCATCAAAAAGTCCTCATCAAAAAAAAGAAGCAGGGCTGGAGGTGCAGCTGAAGTGGTAGAGCGCTTGGCCAGCAAGTGCAAGGCCCTAGCACCGCCAAAACAAAAAAATGAAAAAGAAAAAGAACATCATGTCTTCAATTAAATAAATGCAGTAAGACTTTACAAGTCAAGCAAGTTTTAAGAAATATCCAGGACCCGTTTGGCAGTGTTCAGGAGGAGTGGGGAAGTGACACGGATGAATGTCCAGTTTGGCTTTTTAAATGTTACGAGAACACTGCTCATTAAAGTGGTACACACAGCAGAGCCTGGCCCCTCTGACACTCCGAGAGGAGAAAACATCCCAAGTGTGTTTAAGACTCTCTGCATGATGCTCACGCGGAATGGAATCTGAAATGAGAGCCCAGAGCTTTGCATGCACTCCAGCTCTCCAGCTCACTCTCACACAGCGACCTGCCAACTTAGCTAGGAACAAAGGCACTGGGTGGTAGGTGGGGTATTTCAGGAAAGTCCCAGATAGCCAAAGGGAGAGTGACTTGACTTTACAAGAAATAAAGTGGTTTTATAGACAGTCAGGCCCCCCCCAAAATGAAAATCTGTTACCTGTGCTGCAAGAAGCAAAGCTCTGACATACAGTGATGCAGAACAATTAGGACATCCTCAACAAAACTGTTAATAGTGAAGTGACAGGTCCTCGGCCTGGCCTCAACCCAGCCTTCCTGCCTCAGCCTCCCAAGGGCTAGGATTATTAAAATCTGGATTAGTAAAAGGCAGCACAGAGTGCTATTTAAGAACGTGAACTCAGGCGAGGGATGTAGGTCTGTGGTAGAATGCTTGTCTAGGATGCAAGAGTCCGTAGCTTAGTTTCCAGCACTTAAAAAAAAAGTTGCATAAGAATGTACAGTCTGGGCTGGGGACGCAGCTCAATGGCAGAGTGCTTGCTTAGCATGCGTGAGGCCATGGATTCATCTCCAGCAAGGCAAAGAAAGGGAAAAAAGTGACCACTGGGTCCATTCAGTGCCTGGGTTCAAATCCCTGCTCCATAATTTACTACTGTGTGAACTATAATAAATTACTTAACCTCTCTGTTCTTCAGCTTCCTCAGGAATAAACTAAGAATAATGTCAGTGCCTGTCTAGGTGACCATAAAGTGCCCACAGCGATCCGGAACAATGACAGTTAAACTTTATCCCCCTTCAAGGAGGAGCTGTCATCAACAGAGGATACATGGGGCAGACAGAACTAGGAGGCTACATGGTAGGGAGAAGCATTCATCATTTCCTCTTCCACCGCAGGCGCTGTGAAGCAATGGAGGAAGTGCCACACTCAAGGCACCTGCCCCAAACAAGGGAACAAAGTTAGGAAGGGCCCTGCCCTCTGCCCAGAGGCAAGGAGCTCCCCTGTTATCTGGACATCTCAACATCTCCAGTGGGTTGGCAGATGCCAGGTGGGTTGCACGTGGCCAGGCCTGCAGCGGGCACCGTCAGCTGCAGGGAAGGAGGCCACTGATCCAGGTGTGCAAGGGCTGTCCCGGAAAGGGCTCAACCCAAGCTGCCACCCCGACGCTTCTTGTCCTCCCCCTCAGGACAAAGCGACACCACCTACCTGCTTGCCCTAAGCCGGAGAGGCTGATCTGGGTTCCCCGACAGTCCCGGCCCGGCGCAGACCGCACACGTTTGCCCGCAGCTGGGGAGAAAGACGGAACCTTAGAAGTCGGACCACCGCAGCACGCACTTCCCGGCGGCACGGGGGGCCGGGCGGCGCGGGTCCCACTCCCGCCCGCTTCCCGGGCGCGCGCACCGCGGGCCTCGCCAGCCAGTTTTGGCCACGTCCAGCCTGTCCCCTGTCGCCCGCCCGGCTGTGGCAGGCAGCGGCCTCCGTGGCGGACAGGACCTCGCGGATCCCGCTGCCAACAACCGCGGGGACGCCGCGGCCCCAACTTTCTTTCCCCCAGCCCCGGGGCGGGCTGCGGCCTAGGCCTGTCGCGGGAGCCTAGCGAGGCCAAGTCTTTGCAGCAGCGCCAGCCCCGTGACGGCTCGGCCTCGCCTGACCGACCACGGCCCACTCACCTGGAAGCCAAGCCCGGGTGCAGACGACCCCCCCCACTGCCGCCCCGCCCCCGCCCGCAGCCGGAGACCCACTGACACCGAGGCGGAAGTGCGGCCCTCCGCCTAGCCGACAGACAGCCCGCGCTGCCACTCGCCTCGCCCCGCGCTACCGCGTCGGACCGCGGCTCGTCCAATCAGCGCCCGATCCAAAGGCCGCGCCGAGGGCGGGACTATGCTGATCACGTCGCCGAAGCAGCCTCTGACTCCGCCCTCCCGTAGTCCCGCCCTTATTGAAGAGTGACGGCACCTCCAGCCAATCACTGAGGGAAAGAGGAGGGGTTATGCAGATATGACCCGAGAGGGTTGGGAGGGAAGGAGGAAAGGGCGTGGCCGCGAGCAGAGGCGAGTTTACAAACAGTGAGTCCCGTGGTGGGGTGTGGGAGCTCCGCGTCCGGCCCGCTGAGCGGCCCATCCGCTCCTGGGCTGTCGACCCCTGGGGTGTCTCCTACCGATACCGAATATCTCCTCCCCGTCTTTCCATGCCTCTTACCGCTTACCAAAATCCGTCCCCAAAAAATTATACCTCTGGGCAAAAGGCATGGCTCAAGTGGTAAAGCACTTCCCTAGAATGTGCAAGTCCCTGCGTTCAAACCTCAGAACCGGGAAAAAACAAAACAAAACAGAACTCTTCCTTCCCGTCTCGCTCCACTGATCATGCCCAGAACCTCAGGAGGCTCACCGGGAGTGTAGGACCAGCTGTCTGATCGCAGGCAAGTGAACTAACCTCTCTGAGACTGTGAGCACCCAGAGTTTCCTTTGCAGCCGGGGTTCCCCCGCCCTCATCCCTTTAGAGTCGGGGGTCTAGTTTGAGAGGAATGGAGTGACATGGACCAGGCTGGCTGCTACCCAACTCACAGCAACTGGTGGCCCTGTCCTGGTCTGGAGGCTCAGCCCTGGGACCTGCATCAGTGCCAGACTTCAGACCCGAGGGGGCTGAAGTCACATGACTCTCTGATTAGAGACCACCCCAAACCAGGATAGGTGAAAGAAAGATTGAAGTCTGGGGCAACTGGTAGGGCATTGCTGCCTGAATGGGAATGAAGCCACCCCAAAGAAGCAAGAGCAAATACCCCTACCCTAGACTTTTCAGTTACCTGACCAACTACATTTTCTTTCCTGCTGAAGCCAGTTTGTGATGGAGCCAAAGGTTGCGTAGTTCTCTGCAACCACAAGAACCCCGATAAATCCTGGGACGCACCCTGAAGCTCCCACTCACTGCCACCTCTTCCACAGAGTCAACCCCAGGGCCGGCCCTCCCTCCTCAGAATGTGCCCCCCACTTCTAGTGGGGCCACACCTGTCACCCCAGTAGGACCAAGGATGCCTCTACTGTGGCAGGGTGAGGCTCCAGCCACCTTTCTGGCTCCCAGCCCAGGGGCTGCCAGGCTCACTGGTAGCCCATTGTCAGTAGCACTGCAGAGACGTGCTGGGACTGGGAAGGAGCCCCCTGCGCAGCTCCTGAAGAGATGGGAGGGAGGCGGGCCAGCCTCCGAAACAAAGGCGTTGCCATGGTTACCTCAGAAGAAAGCGACAGCCGGCAGAGGGAAGGGTGCGGCAGCAAGCCGGCCCCCCAGCCAGGACAAGGACAACAGGCTGGTTGCCACGGAGATGGCCGTGCTGGCCAAGTTCCACCACTTTCCTTGGGGCCTGGCCAGGGCAGCTTAGGGTCCCCGAAACCCACCACCCTCCACACCCCTCACTATTGAGCCTCCAAGACTCTGACCCCTGGCAAGGGATATGGTCCTCAGAGGCTTAGCCTGCTGCCTGCGATCGATCGCGCGTCATGGCGATCCCAGGCTCACACAAGTGACCACCTAGGCTGAGTATGGCCGTCTCCACTCTGGCCATGGTGTGGGTGGGCTCTGAGCTCAGATGAAGCCTGGAGGTGGGACCGGACTTTACTTCCTTTTAACAAGGGTGCTAAATGACCCAAGGGCCTGCTGCCCAACCCGGTGCTAGAGGGGGGGTGCAGAACATGGGGGGACCCACTGAGCAGTGCTTTCCCATCTTCACTAGGTCAAGAGGCATAATTCTGCAGGAATGGATGGAAGGGGCTGGAAAAGGGCAGAGGGGGCTTGGGGCCACTACGGCAACGAGGACAGTGGCCCTGGGTGCCCATGGTATACATGCCTCACCCGGTGTCCCCCGCAGCAGCCAGTCGGGGGACACGGATCATTCCCTTTTCACAGGTGAGCATACTCAGTCCGCCACCGCTTAAGTGGCTCCCAGGCCTGGCTCCAGGAACAGTGTGGTCTGTGGGAGAGGAAGAGCCCTGCCCACACCCCAGACCTGGACGTGCACTTGGACCAGATGTCCAGGTCCTCCTGTGGGGCTGAGTCTGCCGGCTCCACCCCAGTCTTCATGCCTCTGAGGCCCAGCAGCAACTGCGGCATGTGAGAAGTGCTGGTCTAGTGGACCATTTTGGGGTGGTGCTCCCCTCCCCTGATCTGCTCTGAGGCCAAGCCAGGCCTGAGTGCTCAGGAATTTACAGGATCCTCCCTCCATCCTCTTATCCAAGGAGGAAGACTGTCATTCCCCTCAGGCAGGTCATCAGTCCCCACGCCTGCCCTTACCTGCAGCGACCCCGGGGGCAGCCATGGCCTTGGAGTGTCCTGCTGCCTGCTCTCTCCTGTGAAGGAGATAGAACACAGATTATCGCTCCCCATCCTGCATGGGGAAACTGAGGCTCAGAGAACCAAAGCAGTGTGCCAGCCTGCCCTCTGGCCCCTGCCCTTCACCCCACTTCACTCTTACCTCCTTGCCAGGGCTCTCAGCCTGGCCTTAGCTCTTCATCGGGGCCTGTGTGCAGGTCAGCCCAGCTAGGGTGTGACATCCAAGATCACTGTGCCTCCCATGGTGGCCCCACCTGGCCTGGCTGCTGCCTCTGCCCCACGCTGCCCATGGCTCCCTTCTGCCTCACTTCTGCAGCAGGCCATGGACTCTCCTGTGTGGACGCAGGCTGGGTGGCCAGAGGGCAGCCTGGCCACAGAGGCCTGGCCCAGCTCACGTGGCTCACTGGTCCCTCCCATCCAGCTTTCGTGGCTCCTCTGCAACGTGACGGCACTTAGCTTCCCTGTCGGGGAGGGAGGGTATTTTTAGGTTTGAACCCGCCTCGTGAAGAGACAAGTTATCAATAGCAGCAGTAAAGGGCTTTTTCTTGTTCTTTTCCCCCAGTCTTTGGGACGTGAACAGTCTGCACCCATTCCATTCTGCCAAAAGAAAACCAGGCAAGAGTGGCACTCCTCTTAGAAACTTTTTACCCCGAAGCTTCCTCCTGGCCACCACTGCCCACTCCATGTGAGTGTTGATGTTCCGGGCTGCCCCGTCCTGCCAGGTGACAGTTGTGACCCAGGGGAGGTCGAGAGTGTCACTCAGGAACATCTGGGATGAGAAGGCAAGGAGGGACGAGCTGACTTGCACTCCCCCAAAGTGGACACAGCCCCCCTTCTGAGCTCCACTGTGGAGGCCTAGCACTTATCAGTGCTTTCTGTGTTCCCAGCGCTGGGCAGAGTCCCTTTGAGCCTGTTGTCCCAGCTAAGTCACCCGTGCAGAGTGTAATCAAGAGACCCCGGGGTCTCGATGGCTGCCATCTGGTGTGTCTGGAGCAAAGGGTTCCCCAGTCAGGTGGTTTGGGAAAGCTGTTCGAACAAAGCCAACAGGGAGTCCTTCTGCTCCACAGGCCCACACCCCAGAACCCTTCCCGCCAGTGTGTGTGTGCGCGCACGCACCAGGGTGCTGGGAGGGCTGAGGACAGACTCAGGATTTATGGGGACTGGAGGCCTTTGCTCCGTGGGGTTTCTTGAAGGATAGTGGAGTGGCCTCCTGCCTTGCTGGACGGGACATTTGAGCCAATTTGGCTGGCTGCCCTCAGGATTAGTTAGAGCTCCGGTTCCGAGAAAACCCAGAATAACAGAACAGAAGTGTACTTCCCTGTCATGTGACACAGCCCAAGCTGTCCAGGCTGGCAGGGTGCTGTGTGTCATCAAGAACACAGTTCCCATCTTACTGAATCACTCTCATAATGCTGGCTTTCGTTCTCAGTGTCACCTCATGGGCCAAAACAGCTGCTGTTGCTCTAGCCATCATAGACATAGCTGACCAGAAGGGAGGAAGGAAGAGAGCACTGCCCCACTGATGAGTCAGCTCCCTTTGAGGATCTGTCCCTGAAGACGTACCAGGTGCTTTTGTTCACATCTGATCGGCCAGAACTTCCTTCCATGCCATGGAGGACAGCAGGCAGCATTTTAGCTGAATGCATTGCCAAATTAATACAATGGGCCAAAGGAGGAGGCTCTCATGACCACTTATCAGACGGGTCTGCTGCTGGCCTCACCTAAGGGAGCCCTCAGAGACCACTGCAGCCCCTGGACTCCCCCAGGCCCAAAACCTCTAGAACAGATCCTTGGGTCCCTGTGCTGCCAGGTGTGGGCTCACGATGCTGCCATGGAAACAGGGGCAGGTGGACGCCAGGCAGAGTTCCAGCTCAGAGTCCCCAGCACCCTTGCTACACAGCTGTGCCCCACCATGCCTTGTGTGGTACCGGGCCTGCTTCCTTCTTCCTGACTGTACCCTGGCTGATGGAATGTCGTCTCTTGTTTCCTCTCATACCTATAGAGCACCTGCTGCGTGCTGCCCTGCACTGGACTCTGGGTACCACCAAAAGCAGACCCCAGGGCAAAGGGGAGGCCCAGACTCTGGTCGCCTCTCTCTGCCCTTCCTGAGTGCCCACGTGGGGTGGGAAGGGTGTGCATGGATCCGTGTGCAGGGACCGGCGGGGCGGGAGATAGCTGGAGGAGCGACAGCTGGGCTGGGTTAGATTTAGCTTGCTGGGTGCCAAGTGCGTTGGCCGGAGCCACTGGCTGGGCTTTAGTGCCAAGGAAGGCACTGCTCGGGGGCGGGAGGGGCAGTTTAAACAGGCCTGGGAAGCAGAGGTTTGCTGCTCTTCCTGGGGACAGCTCAGGCCAGCAAGGAAGGGCCAGTCACAGCCCCCACCCTCCATTCCAGAACCAGA